GATTCAAGTATAACGGATACCTGTAGGACTTAGAGAAAATCCTAAGGTCAGAAACTCCAACGTGTAGAATCAGCTGCCGCAGCCTTTCAACTTAGATGTTAAGATAAACGAAAATGAACCCGGTGACAATGCTTATAAAACTTTTTTGTGACAGGTACATTATAAAGAATAGTATATAATAGTGCTTTTATTTATTTTTCTATTAGGATATTTAAAGGTTTTTGATAAGTTTATATTATTTTATAGTTTAATTATTCAGAATATGATACAATAATTCAATCAATATTTAATGCTAAAAATAAAGAAGTTGAAGCAATAATAATATTTAATCACAATTCATCAGCTAAAATGCATAACTATCTTAAAATAACAAAGGAAAATTCTTAATTTAATTATGCAAAGGTTAACTGAACTATAAAATTTGATATATTAATAAAAATGATATATTATAAAACAGAGTATTTTTATTATAATGATATTATTATATTTAAATTTTATATTAATATTAAATTTAAAATTATATAGTTATTCAATAGTTTTAGTAAAACTTTGTAATTATTAAATAAAAAAATAAAAAACCAATACAAGAAATTTTATCTTTTAAATTAAATATAAATAAAAAAAAGAAAAAATAATAAAATGCTTGATAAAAATTATTAATGCCTAATAATTATTTTTTTGTCTAATAAATGATTTATTATAGTCATTATTAATTATAAAAAATCATGGGATATCAGATAAATAAAAATAAAAATTTTTTTATATAAAATTTTATATTAAAATTTATATTATAATTAATTAACCAATTAACCATTAATTTTTTATCCTTATTTATTTATTAAAATAATAGTCAATAATAAAGAAATTCAGTTATCTGATGAATTTTATTTTTTTTTGAAGATTATCAAAAAAAAAATATAATATAGATTATCTTATATTAATATTATATCTGGTAGAAGGATAATGGTTTGGAAATATTTTTCTTCAAATGGTTTAGATCTATTAGTATAAATTGATGGTTAATAGTGGTTAAAGATAAATTCTTAATAATAATTTATTATTTTATTTAGAGACTATTGAAGAAAATGAATATTTTTTCAAAATAATAATGTATTAATCTATTGAGCAAAAAGAACAATAAATTAGTTTTCTGAAAAAAATATTTCACATCTTCTATGACCTTCACAGAATCCCAATTTCAATCCTATAGAAAATATTTGAAATGAATTAGAGTAAAGTATCTATAAATAAAATCTATTACTAAAAAATAAAACTAAGCTATTTAATTTCTTACAAAATGAATAGTTAAATATGGATAGCTCAATTTATGATAATCTTATAGAAAGCATTCCTTATTATATTAGAGCTGTTAAAAAATTAAAAGGCTATTTAACTAGATATTAAATTTATATATTAACTAATTGAATATTATATTACTTTAATATTTAAAAATACTATCAGATTCTTGTAAAAATGCATATCAATTGTCAATTTTTTTTAGGAGAAATATATATAAACATTGAATATGAAATATAAATCTTGTTCTTCTAATTCAAAATGATCCATTTGTTGTTGAAAAAAGTTGCAACTATCAGATATTTTACAATATAAAAGAAAATAATTTTAGTTAAAATGATCAATACATCTTACAATGCATTATATAAATTGATTATTTAAAAATCAGTTCAGTTTTAATACTGAAACTGATTATATAATCAAACTATTATGTCTCAAGTTGCAATCTACCTTAACTTTAAATTGGAACAGATCTATTTTGCCAGAACTTAACTTCTAATTTTAAGCAATCCAAATTTAAATTTCAAACTAAGACATCTCGAATTTAATACCTGAACTTAATTATAATAAATTATATGTCTTGATAATCAATTATGACTTTTGTTCAATAATATGATACTTTTACTAAATTTTAATTTTTTCTTTAACCTTTATTTTCACTTCTAGTTTTCTTTTCATTTGAAGTAAAATTATCATTTTATTTCATTATTATGAAAGAAAAATTAATAAATTATAATTAAATTTCAAAAATAACTTTTATATTTTAATTAAATATTAAATAAAGAAAATTACTTTTCTTAAAAATATTATTTTAATTATTTAGTAAATTTAACTGATTTTAATTTATAAAACAAAAAATATTATAACTTAAAATATCACATTTCATCTCAATTTTAAGTCTGGTAATAGCTATTGCATTCTTAGTTTCTAATTTATCTTATTTTAAATTGAGACAATAGTTAACTTGTTTATTACTTTTCTAATTTCAAATTTGCTCGAATTTTAAATTAAGGTAATAGTCAACTTAGGGTATTGCATTCTTAATTTCCAATTTGCTTCAATTTAAAAATTGGGGTAATAGCTAACTTAGGGAATTGCGTTCTTAGTTTTCAATTTGTTCCAATTTTAAATTGGAGTAATAGTCAACCTAGGGTACCTCATGTCTCAATTTCCAATTTATCCTAATTGTAAATTAAGGCAATTGTCAACTTGATGTATCATATGTTCCAGTTTCTAATTTGTTCTAATTTTAAATTGGGGCAATAATCAACTTGGGTCATCGTATGTCTCAATTTTCAATTTGCTCTAATTTTAAATTAGGATAACAAATCGTATGTATCTAAATTTAAAATTTCAAATTGGATTGCCCAAAATTAAAATTTATATTTGAGGCAAATCATTAACTTAGGATACACAAGATCACAGTCAGACTGGTCTGATTACAGATCTTAATATCTCTAATCAAATGCAATGAAAAATATAGAATATAAGGAATACAAAGACGCTTATGAAAATTTATAACCAAAAAATTTTTAAAAAAGGAAAAAGACTTTGTGAAAGCTTAGAGAATAAAGTTTGAAAATTTGGTTTAAGTAATATGAAATCTTGTTTTATATAAATATCTGGATTGTTTGTCCTGCTGAAAAATTTTTCCTATAAAGATTATAATAAAATGTCAAATAGTCATCATGGAAAAAGGTATTTTATTTGATATGATAACATATAATGATGGATTGTATCATAACATAACTAATATCTAATATATATAACATGTTAACTTTCTCAATAATTCTTTTTCTTCTCAATTTTTTTTGTTTGACATAATGATATATTACCTTGTGCTTGGTGATACTATCAGAAAAACTTTCCTAGTTACTATTAATAAAGACATGAAAATTCCCAATCTCAAAAAAGTCATTTGGGACGAAATAAAAAATGATTCTATTAGTGATAAAATTAATGCAAAAGATCTAGTTCTATGGAAGATGACAATTCCTACGCATAATATGAAATTGGAAAATCAAATACTGCTAGTAATGTTGAAAAAGAGCTTGGAGACGAAGAGTTAGACCCATTTGAAAAAGTTGGTATATATTTTAACAAACTAGTACATTTTTCAAAAGAGAAACTCACTAAACGTAACGTATCATAAATATTATTGTGCGACTCTATTACCCATCACAACTAGTAAGTGTCTCCCAATATTTTACCTCTTAAATAAGAAAATTCACGTTATCTTACATCCTATAATTTTTTTATTCAATTAGGCAAAAGAAAGTTGAAAGAGAATGAGAACGAGAAAAGCGAAAGAAAAAAATGATCATGTAATCTATATCTATGTTATCAACAATTTTTTTTAAGTTCTTTCTGATTTATAATTCTTATTAATGCTAAAGATGAAATTCGTGAAGAATCAAATGAGGGCTATGATTCTTTTATGGTTATTTCACCTGAAAGATTGGCAACTATTATATTATTCTTTTACGTAGTCTGCCTTCATCAGAAAAGAGTATCCTCGGTGAATATCTCCAAGAAATTTACGATGGTATATATATCAGCCTTGCTGATATTATTGTAAAAAGCAATCAAGAAATAGATGTGGGTTACTTTGAGGAGTACTGGAAGAATAAAGTTGGTCGTATCTAGACAAACATCACTGATTGTACTGAAGATACTTATTTGTTTGTTAATGAAATACAAGTTATCTATGGCAAACGTGCTCCATTTTTTTGGAGAAAAGTGATGGTTCTTATGTCAAACACTGGGTTTAATAAACATCTTTGGATATTATTTCTCATCCAACAATTTTAGATGAAGTAACACCCATAGAAATTATACATACTCTTGGTTTGGATGCCCTACTTTTAACAAAATACGAGTTCAATGTACTTGTAGCAAACTTTATCCAGAGATATTCATCTCGGAGTTACTTCAACATTCCTGAGGGTGTTAAGAATCTCATCTTTAATCTTACTGGTGGACACCCTGGTCTGTGTCGATTTATTTTAACACTATTACGCATTAAATTTCGTGAAGGTATACAAAATAAATCATCAGCAGTTATTTTACAGTACCTTGCTTCGCCACAATTACGAAATGGTATAACATCTAGCTCATGTGCTTTTTACTGGATTAATAACTGGAATCCAAGCCATGACGAAGCTGAATTTGTTCGTCTTATGTTACTTAAAAGTCATTGTGAAACTCCATCTATTATTGATTATGATTCAAACCCTGTTGCCAAGAAATTTCTTAAGTCCGGTATTTTCGTTGAGATTAATAGTCAAATACAGTTTACCGCCTCCATCATGCGAATTATTCTTACTCACCACTTGTTTGCTGATTTGCGAGACATCCTACTACTACCTTTGAAGAATTTTTAGAGAAGTCTATTCATCGTATGAGCCCATCTAAATTATCTGAATCATTTGGAAGAGGTGATAAATGTAATTCACTATATGAGAGAAGCTGGCAGATGGAATGGTATTGCGCTTTTACAATTGTAGTCCCTGCTAATGAATCAATAAGCGCTGATGTTGGTCCTTTATTCAGTTCCACTGGTTTCCTTGATTTTTATGTTAATGGAGATTGTTGCTGGAGAATTGAGCTTATTCGCGAAGGTAGGCATTTGAAGGAACATGCAAAACGATTCGAAAATGGTGGTATATATGACAAAATTCCATTGAAACATTGGGTTATAATTGACTTTCGACACCATTCAAAAAGTGTACGTGAAAAAAAACCAAATTTCTGGTATGCACTTTATGATGACAATTATAAACAAATTACTATTATACGTGAAAGACATAATGATAAAGTTATTATCTTGTACGGTGATGAATAACTTTATTCATGTTTAGATGTGCACATAGCTCCAAGCCCTGAGCTTGGACCGAACCATGTTTTAGGAAGATGCTTTGTTTTCACTATTAGTTACAATTCTCAATAAAAAGATTGAACATTGGCATTTCTTTGTTACGCATTTATAGAAACATTTATTAAATTATTTCGCTCATTTCTTTATCTTCATTCTTGTCAAAATTGCACCTCGCATATTTACACCCGCAGTTTCTTAGTAAACAGATTTCATTCGCATGATGGTCTGCTCTGCGTCTAGCTCGACTTCATTATTCTTGAAATTCTCCTATACATCGAATGATTTTGAACGAAAAGATTGCTGTCCGATCTTGATTTACCGAACCTTTTTTATCTTTGACATACTGAAAATCCAATATAAAACAAAATCGAACTAAAATCACATGGTCGGCAGATTAGCGAAGCCGGGATCGTCACTCCGCATCATACTTAAGCAAAGGGGGTAACGAAAACAAGTATGGTATGGTGACCGATTATCAAACACCTTTTTGTTATATATAAATGATGTATGTATGTCACCATACCATACTTGTTTTCTATACGATCAAAAAAAAAATGTCAAAAATTCTTAAATTGGCTCTTCTTATTGCCGATACACCACTTCCTAAAGTTGTAAAACTATATGGAGACTATTACGTTCAATTCTCAAAATTTTTACAAAGAGCCGCTGATTCTAGCAAGGAACCAATTAGTCTAGATATACAACCTTTTGATGCGACGAAAATGGAATATCCGAATAAACAAGAATTACTTGAAATCAATGGAATACTTATTACTGGGTCTGGTATGAAAGATTTGAAGAAATAATACAATGATTTCGTTTCATGTTATCTTCACTATTATTTCTCAAGCACATTAAATGTAATGTAACTACTTTAAAGCTGCATCAGCATATGAAGATATTCCTTGGATTAATCGTCTAATTGAGTTTATGGGTTCAATTATAAACGAATATCCAAAGATTAGGATTGTTGGGATTTGCTTTGGACATCAGATTATTGCCAGAGCGATGGGTGGTCAAGTTATTATGAACCCTTTAGGTTGGGAGGTAAATGGAATTTTAAATCAAATGCTTTTTTTTTTTTTTTCTTTTCCTTTAATTTTCACAATTTAATTTAATGATTTAGGTTGCAGTTACGGAATTTTCTTTAACAGATACCGGAAAGAAATTTTTCAAGACAAATAGGAAAGCATTGGTATAATTCTTATTATTTATAAAATAAATTTTATTATTAATGATTGCAGTTTAAGTTTTATACTTATTATTTGCTCTAATTTCGAAGCGTCTTCAAGAAATGCATCGGGTAAATTATTTTAATTCTCCATAAACTCTTAAAAATAAAAAACTTCTAATAATGTTCTTTATAAGGATTATGTTTCGAGTATTCCTCCCAACTTTTCAAATATTGGGTTTACTAAAGTATGCGCCATTCAAGGGATGGTTAAAGATGATCATGTGCTTACAATTCAGGCTCATCCAGAATTTGTAAGTGATGTAGTTAAAGAGATTATTAAAGCACGTCAGGAAAAACGAATCTTTACTCCTGAACTTGCGCAAAAGTTTTTGTTGGCAGCAGATTATGATGATGATAGCACATGGATAGGTCAAAAATGTGTGGAGTTTTTGACAGGTTAGTATGATTACATAATGTTGTTAATTTGATGGTTTTTTCCAACTAATAGAATTTCATTTAGGCGAGATTGAACCAGATGTCACCGATAATTAACAAATTTATTGGGAGAATCCTATAATCTGGGCCATCCGTATTTAGAATTCAAAGAGAATGCTTATTTGTAAAATGACTATCAGATAGATATGTTGTACAAGTCCCTGATTGTCTAACAATTTTTGCGGCAACATTATTGAAGAATACAGTTATCATTTAATAGTAAAAATTATTTCAAGTCTATATAAAGTTCTTTTTGCAATGTTTTATTTGTTCGATTTTTTTTTTTATATATATTTTACCAAAGCTTTTTAATGGCTATAAAATCACGCGTATACCAATTTAATGAAAGTGAACTTTATTAGACGTGGGAAACTCGGGTTATACTATTTCCCAAACGGATTTTCAGTGTAGTACTAAAGCTTAAATATTTTTGTTTATGTGATACATACAATTGCACGCATCAAATGTATAGAAATAAAACTCTGTAAGCGATTTTATACTTGAAATTGCAAATTGGCTTATATAATATCTTATTTTTTCAGCAATTTAATTGGATTAAATTATATTAATATAATGATATTCAAGATTTCATTATGATAATTTTTAGACTAATCAATAATTTTATATAAATTATTATATAAAATTGACGAATTTTTTTTTCCAAAATTATTTTTTTTTAAACCAAGAATAATGCCAAAAAACGTCGGATGCTTTTCATTTCTAAATGATTTCTACACATTACTCATAGGTGATGGTGATGAAAACGAAAAATCCTCTTCTAGATCAGTTAGTTCAACTTAGAATAATATCACGTGTTCTGCCAATTATGAAACGTTTTATTTTATTTTATTTTTTATTTTTATTTTTTTTATAGAGTAAAGAGAACAATTATGGTCCAACTTTAGTGATTCATGGTGGCGCAGGAACCATTGCTCGTAAAGATTTTTCTGAAAAATTACAAAATGAATATCTTGATGCATTAAAAGAATCTTTATTTGCTGGTTATAAAATCTTATTAAATGGAGGAAATTCGATGGACGCCGTAGAAGTCGCAGTTAGAGTAATGGAAGGTTCGTAAGCAAGGTTAAGTTTTTTTTTAAAAAAAAAAGAATTTTTTCTTGAAAAATCAGACTCTAATAAATTTTACTTGTAATAGATTGTCCTCTTTTTAACGCCGGTAAAGGGTCAGTCTTTACGATTGGCGGAAAGGTAAATTTAAAGACTTTTTTTTTTTTTTTTTGATCTTATAATTGTTCTCGTCATCTGGCATTAATTATTCTATAGAATGAACTTGAATCTTCATTTATGATCGGAACTTCTGATCACCCAGCTGGCGCAAGCACTTTATTACATACAGTAAAAAATCCAATCACTTTAGCTAAAACTCTTTTACTTGATCCGGAGAATCCACATGTATTTCTTGGTGGTATAGAAGCTGAAGAATATGCTAAAACGAAAGGACTAGAAATTGTTGATCCCGGTTATTTTTGGACAAAAGGAAGATGGCAACAACATTTGGAAGAGTTGAACAAGGGTAACAATGAAGTGGATTCACTATATCCTATGGGAACTGTTGGGGCCGTTGCTGTTGATAAAAACGGCATTATTGCTACGGCTACCTCTACGGGTACATTGAAATTTTTATCCTATGGTTAATTTTATATACGATCCTAATATCATTATCCAATTAAAGGTGGCATGAATAATAAAAAAGATGGTCGAATTGGGGATACTCCGTTAATAGGATGTGGCACTTGGGCAGATAATGAAACATGTGGTGTTAGTGGCACCGGTAATGGAGAGGTAAATTTCGGAATGGAAATTTTTTATCTTACATTAATTCTAATCTATCTTGTGTCACTAAAGTTTTTTATTAGATATGGTATTGCTCAAGATGTATCTTCCAGAATGCGTTACCTTGGTGAGAATGTAAATGAAGCAGCTAATGCTGTTATAGAAAATATGAGAAAGGTTGGAGGAGGTGGTGGTGTAATTGCGTTAGATAAATATGGTCATGGTAAGTTAAGTTCAAAAGAGGATTAAATTGACAACGTTTTTATTCTAATTTATTCTCTTCTTATCTATAGTTGCTATGCCATTTAATACAACTGGAATGTACAGAGGTTATATTAGAGTTTCCGAAAGTATACCATATGTTTTTATTTTTTAATATTTAACTTATTTTCTGATTACTAAAATTTTTTCCGAAAGATAATATTTCGAATATCGATTCATTATTATACACTGACGTGTTATTGATAATAATCTTTTCTTTAATTAATTAAATTCTGATCAAAGACGCTATTTCGGATGTTAAACCAAAAGATTTGTAATCGGATCGACTTAACCTCAAATAGCATTTGATATATTCTATAACTTAACATAAACTTTTTTTATAAACAATTTACATGATGAATGTTATTCAAAAGAAGGAGGTCTATTAGGATTAGATAAAGCTAATGGTGGTCGATCATCAATAAATAAAGTTCTGAATTAATTCATTCCGAGTATAGGAAACTTTTAAAAGAAACGTTAATTTTGTCACGTGAAAGGGATTAATAAGCAAACAACTAAGTTAATTTAGAATGAAGTCGATCACTTGACCCCACAAATTCCTTTAATTCCCTTATGATAAAGAGTATTAGTAATTCGGATAATTCGGATCTAATACGAAAAATTTTTTTCATCAGATTTGTACAACAATGATTAAAAATTTATATAAACTTTCAAATTTAATGTTTCTCGGAAAAATAATAAACTTATTAAAGTCATAATGTCAAAAGAACAAGCAGCAACGCCCGTTACGAGTTTGGCACGCTCTTCTTCCTTTACAGCGTTTCACCCTAAGGTGCTTAAACCTTTTAATTCAGGTGAAATAAAAATTTTGTTGTTGGAGAACGTCAACCAGTGTGGTATAGATCTTCTGGCAAAAGAAGGATTTCAGGTAAGTTTTTGTTGTAAGGATAATGACCTTTTTTTTTTAAAAAAAATCTTAAATAGCTGTTTTATATTTTCTAATTCATAATTATACCTTTATACGCGATAACAGGTTGAAGTCCACAAAAAAGCACTTTCGGAAGAGGTTCTTATAGAGAAAATTCGTGATGCTCACGCGATTGGCATTCGTTCCAAAACCATGCTTACTAAAAAAGTACTTCGAGAAGCCAAAAAGCTCTTGGTGATTGGATGTTTCTGTATTGGAACAAATCAAGTCGATCTTGAAGTTGCTGCTAAGCAGGGTATCGCAGTATTCAATTCTCCATTCAGTAATAGTAGAAGTGTTGCAGAATTAGTTATTGCAGAGATTATTTCATTGTCTAGACATTTAGGTGATCGTAATATAGAATTACATCAAGGAATGTGGAACAAAGTTTCTTCACAATGCTATGAAATTCGTGGAAAGACTCTCGGTTAGTTTATGCTTATCTTGCATATATAATTGTTTTTTTTATCTAACATTTAAAACGATACTATCAACAATTTTGTGAAATCATTTTTATAGGTATTGTAGGATACGGTCATATTGGATCACAATTATCGGTTCTTGCCGAAGCCATGGGAATGACGGTATATTTCCATGATGTCGTTCAGATTATGCCTTTAGGGACTGCTAAACAAGTTAATACGTTGTATGAACTATTAGAACGTTCAGATTTTATAACTTTGCATGTTCCTGAGACAGAAGAAACTAGATATATGATTGGCGAGGAAGAGATTACACGTATGAAGAAAGGAAGCTATCTAATAAATGCTTCTCGTGGTAAAATTGTCCAGATTCCTTCATTAATCAAAGCCTTGCAAAGTGGTCATTTGTTAGGTGCTGCAATTGATGTATTTCCAAAGGAACCAGCATCCAACGGTCAAAATTTTAATGATGAAATGAATTCTTGGACATCTGACCTTTTGGCTTGCAAAAATGTGATCTTGACACCTCATATTGGTCAGTTATTTTTATAATAGATCTCGACCTATATTAATTCATTACTTAAAATATATTTTTAAACTCCAAAAGGCGGTTCAACCGAGGAGGCACAATATATGATTGGTCTAGAAGTGGGAGCTGCGCTTGTGAAATACATTAGCTATGGTACTTCAAATGGTGCTGTCAACTTTCCAGAGGTTGACCTTCGTGCTATTCAGGCTACAGAGAATTCGATACGTTTACTTTTTTGCCATCACAATGTGCCCGGTGTACTTAAGGTAATTTAAATAAATATTTTTTTCCCGGTTATCATTTATTGTTGACATGGTTTCTTTTTTTTATAGGAAATCAATGAAATTCTTGCCGATCACAACGTTGAAAAACAATATACAGATTCACGAGGTGATATTGCTTATATGATGGCTGATATTTCTTCTGTGGACGAACATGATATAAGAAAGATTTATGAAAGCGTGAGTTCGAACAGGGCGAACATTTTGACTAGAATTGTATATTAAATTTAGTCATAATAGAAAAGCATATTTATTTATTGTCACGTGATATCAAATTTAAAATAATAAAAAAAAGTTTTTTAATGATCACCATTATTAGTAATGTTTGTCCATTATGGCAATCAATTAAAAAAAATATAAATTCGATCGTAACCTTTATATAAATAATGAATTTTTAACTTTTCTTCAATATAAAATGACAAAATCGGAAGTTACTGAGGATGATTGGATGGTATGGGATGTTATAAATTCTCGCGGACAAGTGAGTTTTTCTTTTTTACTGACCACTTTCCTTAGTAAAAAAAAAAAAAAGTGAAGGAGACAAAAGAAACAGTTTTTTCAAATTTTGAATTCATTTTTCTTAATAGGTATTTGTTGATGAAATTAAAATTCATGAATTGATTCAAGAAACGTTACCTGATACTTCATGGGAAGTATTTCAAGATATTTTACTCAATTTATATGAAGTTGTAAGTAATTGAATTTATTTTTATCTAATTATAGATTATATACATTTATTAATAAAATGTTCTTGATATATAGGGGTTAGTAAGAAAACGACAAACTCACGATGAAAGATATATGTATCAAGCACGTTCTAAAGAAACAGCGGCAAAGTAGTTTATTTTAAACATTATTAAAATTCGCGTTTTTTCAGCGATTAATTGATAATTATGATTTTAAAGACTTCAATCGCTCGAAAATCATGAATTTGAGGTTTATGAACTTATTGAGAATTCAGAACGCAAAGGTAATACTTTTTTAAAAATTAAATTGATCAAATAATTCATTTATTTAATTAAATATTCTCAGGTATCTCAAAAACTGACATTCAAAAGCAATCAAAATTGGTACAGTCTTTGGTAGAAGGTAGTTTGAAAAACATGCAAGATCAAAAATTAATTAAAGAAGTTAAACCAAAGGTAACATATACGTGTGCATTTGTGTATATATGAAGAATTTTATTGAATTTAACGCGTTTTTTCTCTCCACATGGCTAGACTAAGAAGCTGTATATGCTATTTGATACTAAACCTCATGATGAATCATTAAGTAGATTAATATATACAAACGGAGAACCGGATACATTTGTCGTGGAAACTTTAAAGTCAATATGTTATAATTTTATTTATCACAGAGTATGTACAAGAAGTCGTTCTTTATGAACTAATTTATGGTGAATCTTACAAGATTTTTATATTAGAGCTTTCCCAGGGGGATGGATGAAGATGCAATTTTTTATCCCAATTATACTGGATATGTAACCTTATCAAAGATTGTACAATGTGTACAAGAAACAAAAGTCACAGAAATCGAAATTGAAGAAGCCGATATAAGACAGATCCTTGATGTGCTTATATTTGAAGGGAAAATTATAAAAAAATTTATGAGTAATATAGATCCAAATTCGATGGTAACTGACGTCAATCGTCCTGATACCCAATTTGTGTATATAGCTAAAAAAGCTAGAAATATGAATAATGCTTGGACCCAAGCCCCATGTGGAAGATGTCCGGTGAGTATTAATTAATTTATGGGATGATTTCAAGAATTATCAGGTTCTGAGAAATTTTTTTTTTTTGCATTTTAATCTGATAACTTCAAAAATAAAATGCAATAAAAAATCCGATATGTGTTAAACATTCCACGAACTTTGCAAAAAATTAATTTCTCGTTTTCTTTAGTTTTTTGAAAATGAATGTACAGAAAATGGTGAAATATCTCCATCGACATGTATATTCTTTCCTCAATGGTTGAACAAAGCTATTAATATAATACAAGATGATGAGCAGGATCATGGTAAAGGAAAAGAAATTCTTGATTGGTAAAATGAATAATACGATTATAACGAACAATTATTTAAAGACAGACTTTTGCAACTACAATAAAGTTTTTTTTTCATTGTAATAATTTTTTCATTATAAACCTTTAATGAAATTTAGAAAATAAGAATTAATTTTATTAGCAAAAAAAAAAAAAAAAAAAAAAAAAATTCAATAGATTGATTGGATATAAGATGTAATATAATAAATAATAATAAATTTTTTTTTTTTCTGGTTCTTGTTTTGTTTAAAATTTTTTTTTTTTTTACACGATTTTTTTTTTTTTTTTTTTCTTCAAAGGAAGTTTATCATTTCTATTATGACCATTAATTCTCAAACCAATGAACATGACAATTAAATAATAAAATGTTTCATGAAGCCTATTTATTAATTTACTTCTATTAAAACTGGTCCGATTAATTACCAATATTAATTTCAACGTCCACTTGTCAGAAGTCTTTTTCCATTTCCCTTACGTTCGCTGAGCCAAATCTACCAATTAAATAATTCTACCCTTATCAGATTCAACCATCATAGTCCAACAATATATTATGATCCTTACCCAATACTGCTAGTGATACTGAATTTAATGCATTCTTTTCACATTTATTAAGATTTATAGTATTGATATAGGATTGATCGATGTTGGATTCTGTTGTTGGTAACGTATCATTTAACGTTTGTAATGATAAGGACGATGATGATGATGACGGTGATGATAACAATGGTGGTACGGTAGTAGAATTGCTCATTTTTATGGATTGCGTAGATATAATAGGAATATCGGGAGTGGTTAATAAAGGATGCAAGTTCGATAAAGTAGACATTCCGAAATTTCCATCTTGCGAGGTCGCAACAGATTCTAATTCTCGTGTGGATTGATCTCTGACGAGAACAAACGACTTGAGAGTTTGTGGCTTTGCTTTAACTGCGCACATACCCAACATTTCATTATTTCCTCCATTACTCTTCTGACCAAGTTTATATGAACGAATTATTTCAGTCTCATATACACCACTTTGAGTTGTGGTTTCAGGTGCACCATTATTTTCACCTCCACCCTGATCCAATAATGACTCGTCATCCTCACCATCATCATTTTCGCCTTCAACATCTTCACCATCATCACCATCTTCGTCACTATTTACATCATTAGGACGCATCCTTAACCATTGCATCCTAGGTCCACTTCGACTCCTTTCGTTTACTTTAAACCCAAAGATCTTTGGTTCATATATTCTTGTTTGATTATTTGGGAACAATTCCGGAAATTGTTGAAATAGGAGATGAGGAAAAGTTGTACCGAAATAAGCTCCTATAAAATATAATAATAATAATAAAAAAAAAGGTAATTAATTTAAGAGTATTAAAAATATGGTTTTATACAAAATAATTAATTACCTTACCATCAATATTTTGATATCTTGAACTAGGAGGTGTATATATATCTAAACAATTTGGACAAAAAAGCTTTACGGTTTCTAAACCGGGAACATCGCTTTGTCCACAAGGAACAACTGCAGTTGCATGACAGTATACTCTTGGACAATGACCAAAATGATTGCTTTCATATTTATCAACCTATTAGTATAAATGGAAGAGGTAATTAATCAATCTGGTGATATATAAATTTCAAAAAAGAATAATGAATATAATCAGATAATCTCCTACCATTTGTTGTAATCCTTGACGCGTCAATATATAACGTTGATGTATCATACCATATAACACTTCCGCAGAATTTTCGACAAGAGAGACGTCTGGTACTTTCAAACTTTCCTCTTCTAAAAAAAATAGAGACCAGCATTAGAATTCATTAATTAAATTGACTTTTGATATATTTATAATACAAAATTGCAAATAATATGTGATATACCCGATCGAAAATTAGAAAAGATGAATGCATATACCAAATCGTTCTCCAAGTTAATAAACATAATTCAGGCCGTACTTTGCAATACTTACCAGGTTCAACATCCAATATCATCTCTAATGCTTCTTTATAAAACGGGACTGTCGAATTTAAGCCGGTTAAATTAAAATCATCCTCTATGAAATCATCAGCTATTTCAGCAAAGTATTCATGACCGGAAAGGGAACAGAACCACGAAATCCAAGTCATAGATTCTGTACCAGTATCGTTGGAAGTATCAGATTCTTGTTATTCGTAAAAATAGATAACGATATTTTTTTCGAAATTAAGTATCAGTTTGAGCATCTTAAATTAAAATCTAAATATCCCATCTATCTTAGGTTCATAATATCTCTGGATTTTAAGAGTACATCTAAGATCTAATCGAGCTCATGTCTTAACTCTTATTCATGATTTATTATTAACGCATATATCTCATATTAACCATTCATTTTCTTTCGATAAACATTTTGACATGGGATCGATCATAAGGTTCAATTCAAAAGGACTCTAAAACTTTTTAATTTAATATTAATGAAGAAACTAATTTACTCAAATCAAAAATTTAACTAATGCACTCGAAGAAGTAGGGTAAGCATATAAAATTAATTTGCAAAGATTTAACATATAATGCGTCGTTTGCAAAGACGGAAACTCGGTAGCATTTCTCTCAATAATGTACAAATTCAATATATTTATAATATAAAAGAAAAAAAAACTTACCATAGAATTCCCCTTGATATGGTCCACCACTTTCTTGTACAAGTTCTTCCTCTTCTTCTTCCTCCTCTTCCTCTTGATGCTGGATATTCCGTTCATTATTTGGATCATTAATGGACGAGGTTGAACCAGCTTGGACCGAAACTGTTGTTGCCTTCCACATTCTGGTTAATTCCTGTAATGCTGAATTTTCGTTCTAGATTGTAAATATTTATTGGGTCTTGACTACATGTAATTTATCTTGACAAAGATGTTCGGAAACTCCCGTGTTCTTAATATTATATTCTTGAACAACGACCAAAACAATTTTAATTTTTTTTTTTCTTTTTTTTTTTTTTTAAGAAGGAAACGCAATTTAATGCCTAGAACTTGAATATAAACATTCTAAAATGTTGATGTATTACAGTAAATGCAGATTGTGTCACTATCAAAAAATTTTATAATTGAAGCTCATTTTCATTTGAGGATCAAAAGATGAGTTTCGTTCAAGAACGAGTTCGAGAAATACAGGAAGACTTAGATAATCTCTTTCAGTCTTTGGAGTCTAAATTTGTTAATGAAAATGTTTTCATTCGTCTTCGGCGTTCAAGTATCTCCGAGGTAGATTCTGCAAGAGCTCAAGCCTCTTCCACTTATAACGTTAATTCAGATATTTTAACTGAACGCGCAGAAGTTTTAAGAAAAGCAATTAACTCTATCCAACTTGATAATGGTAACATTCCAAAGATGAATTTAATTCTGAATCAATTGGATATGGTGGAAAAAAGCCTTCATGGAAATTGTAAGAGTGCTACGAGTGAAGTGCCACCCTTATGGGAAAATGAGGAAAACGAGGAATTAGAAAGAGGAATTTCCTATTTAGAATGTTTGTTTCTTTCAAAAGTGACCATATCTATATACGGAAAGATGTTGGAAAGTTTTTTGGTATCAACTCTTCCATTATTGGATGATATTTATTATTGGAGAGAGCTGGAAGAAAACAAACTTTGGAGCTGGATTCATCTCTTTCAAAGTGACTTTGATTTATATTATTAATTTGTAGTATATTTAAGGTGCTGGGTAAACCTTAGAGGTTTCTAAAGGGTAAAAAAAATAAACCTAGAGAAATTTCTATTAATAAACCTGGAAATGGCAAACTTAATCCTATTCAATTTCATAAATCCATCATACCTTATAATTTACCCAATACACTTTATACAATATTTATAACACTAGTGATTGTATTTCTATTAAAAAAAAAATTCCGTAAAACTAAAGGTTTTGCCAAATCCAAATACGGTTTAGACAAGCAACCTTAAGTGTACTGAAATTGTTTTGCTTAATACATTAATATTCATGGTAAAATTTTTTTTTTTTTTATTATTTTAGCTATTCCTTTACGCTTGTATTCTTTATCAGGAACTATATTCAACACAATTCGTAGACAATATCAAAATGTTCCACCAGATAATTCTCTATCTGTGAGGCAATTATTCTCCTTAGATGGTATGATCAACCTTTTCCCTAGATATATGCATACGCGTTTTTTGATTGTTCCATCCCATTCTGTTTCATCTTTGGTCCGATACGAAATCCGTTATAAGAAATTGGTCCTTGCCTCTCTCATGGAGTATCAAGCAGCATGTATCGGATTATTAATAAACGAAGGGTTGGATTTCAAAAAAGTAACAAAGGAGATAGACGAGATGACCAACGAAGGACATATGGATGTTAACTTTGGTGATGTTATTGCAAAACAATTAACTAATTGTGTTGTGTGTATTGAGAGAATTTTAAATCAAGCTACAGGAATCGATATTGAAAAAGGGGATATGCCAAACGTCAATAACCTTTTTGGTGAGAAATGCAGTTATTATAAAGTTATAGTTTTAAGCCATAAGTGATAATTATTCAAAATAATGATCAAACAACATATAGAAAATATGAATGTTCCGGATTCACCGTCATCTTTGTTGGCCCTTTATACCCATTTGCGCTCCATTATTACCACACACCTTCCTCATTATGATGAACATTCTAATCGGATCATTTCGATTTATGGTCGCCCATCACCTTTGACTCGATGGTGGTTACCTATTACCATTTCTACTGTTGTAGCTTGTAAAACTAGAGATCATTTCTTTAAGGTTGGTAACAATGTGTCCCACAATCTTATTCTATAATAAGCTACAAGCCAAAGTACGGTATATCTTTTCGTTACATACTTTTGTTCACAAGCATTATTGGCTTGGATTTTTCAAAAAGTTTCTGAAAATGATAAAATATTGTATAATTTGTACGAAATATTTAAAATTCTGGAGTTATATAACAATGTGATATTACTACTATTCAGGAAGGATTTATACAATGGCTTGATGAAGCTAAATCTACGATAGTTAACTTTTGGAGTGATTGGATTTGGGAACCTATTGTAAGAATGATGGAGACAATCCGTCACAGAGAGAGAAGATTGGTACTCATGGGAAAAGATAGTTTAAATTCTGATTTAGAGGTAGGTCTAAACTTCAACAGACTATAGTTCGTGTGATTGATATTATTGAATTTAAAAATAACGGAAAGTTATATTAATATTCAAGTCTCTCGAACGAATGGTATTAGACTTTGAACTTGGTCGACGTATACTTAATGATGAGGAAATGATTAATTTATCTAACCGAGTTCGCGATGGAGATTTATCAATGATATTAAAAGCATATGAACAGCAATTGAAGGTTAATAATTTTTTTAATTATTTAATTATCTAAGGTCGCTTGCCAAAACTCGGTAAATTTTTTTTTTTCAGTTTCCATATTGCTTGCTGTAAGTCGAAATTTTCAAAAAATTATTAATACTCTATATTATTAACTCGTCAAAGTGAGTTTTGGTAGGCTGTCTTATTATTTAAATCGCTTATATTAATCAATATTCACTTTAAATTAGAATCCATTTAAATCAATCGTTACAGGTAATCAAACACGAAATCTTGTTATATTAACATATTACAAAGATTTTACGTGATTAATGACCGTTTATAATTAATGATTCATTTTATTTTATATAGGTGCTCTTATTAGAACGTTGTCGATTCAGGTGCAAAAGACAAAGGTGGATCTAGAAATCGCAATGGCTGCGTTAGATAAGTTATTAAAATCCAACGAGTTAAATTTTGCATTCTTGGCTGTCGGACCAAGTTTGTTTGTTGTCTATCTATTTTCTACTTGGGTAAAAAACATTTTGTGGAGTAAAGATACGTGGTCGAGTAGAATCAAAGGTGCAAATGTTAAAATGAGAGAATCCTTACTGTATGCATAGAATGATTTTTGTTATTTATACTTTTATAATTAAAAAAAAAAAAAATAATATGAATTAATCGATTTCTCAATAGAACCGTAGAACGACTGCTTGTACAAAATTATCGTTCCAATTCGACAAACCTTCCATTTGCAACACAAGGTTTCGTAATTTGTCATGTACATCATCTTCGAACTTACGCGATGTATTTGCCTTCTAGGAATAATGTACGTCAAAGCGTTTTAGATGATCTTCGAGAGTTAGATGATCCAAGATTAACAATTCGACAAAAAATTTGGACATGTGGACGAATCTGGCGTTGTTGGGATTTTTTAAAGTGACGAATCTTTCACTCAAGTGACAATAAGCTTTAAAGCTTAAAAAAGTTGTGTTCAGAACCTTTATTCCAAAGAAATATACAGTCGAATCTCTCTATATGCAGTCCCAATCATATAGAGATCATATAAAAATTTTCTCTAAAATGCATACTCTTTAAATGCACATTTTTTCAAATTCTCAGAGGGGTGCATATAGAGAGGTTTGACTTTATATATACATACAGTCGACTTCGTCGTTATAGTTTTTTTTTTAATTTGTTAATATATTTGACTTTTCTTAAATATTAATAAAATTATGATTAAAAAACAGAAAAATTGAACCAAACGATATTTTTTTTAAAAAAATAAATAACCATACATAAACGTAAAAATAAAAAAAATAAAATATTCACCAAAAATTGATTTTTTTTTTTTATTTAGAATAAATGATTTTTGATTGACACCTCCAGAAGTTTAATTTTTTTTACAATAGAAACTAATAAAACGTTAAAACATCTTACTTATGAACTCGTTCACCAAATATAAAATATTTTTTTAAACCCAATTAACTAATGTATAAATTTCTACAATAAATGAAAAATCTAACAAAAATATGTGCACAGTGCAATTGACAAAAAAAAAAAAAAAAAGGCAAATAACTTTTATGGTATTGATATTTATAATATTATGGAAACTTTACATAAAACAAATATATATATATAGGTAAGAATAAGTTGCCTTGGTAGCAGACTCGGCATGCCGAAATGTGCTGGAATTGATATAATAAAAGAAACAAAAAAAAAATTTTTAAACAAAATTCCTTATTCTTCGCTTTCCTCCCCCTCTGCTGAGTTGGACATTACTACGTCCCCACTACTGGCAGTTTCAACACCATTCTCCTCACGCGACTGTGCAATAGCAGAAGCAGGTGAACCGACAGTACCATTTCTAACATTTCCGTTTGCTCGAGTTCCTGCACCTCGGCGTCGTCCACCGGCGACTCTGTTTTTCATGACCTCGAAGTTTTGCATCACATAATTTTTGCATCTCTGAGCATTTGGCAAATCTTGTATCATTTTTCTAATCGTGGCTTGCGAAAAACCGAAATAATCAGGTCCAGAAGCTGAATTTGAGTGATCACGTTGACGAATTGCGTTTGCTTCACGGACAACCGTCGTCCAGGCGCCAGTCGCCGTATTAGCGATGATTGGTTTGTTAGGCTGATCTTCTGCTTCAATAACAAACTATTTTAAATACAAGAATTGCATAAGCTAATAATTTCGCAGAGGTGACGTTGGTATCAGAAAGTCGATAACAAAAATTATTCTTACTTTGGGGTTTTCGGTACCATCTTCAATTTTGCAAACGTACATCGTCTGAGCATTCGGATTAATCATACTATTATAAGCCCTATTTAAGAAACAAAAGAATTAATATACGTTAACTTAAAAGGTTGATAATAAATAATAAAATACGAATATAATGAGAAGTAATAACGAATATTTACCTCTTGACAGCATATCCAACAGGCCAAATGTATCTTTCGTTGTGGAAAGTATCACGATCATAAACTACTGTACCGAGATTTAAAACGGTCAATATACCGATTTGAACGGGGAGTTTATAATTGCCTTTTTCATCTTGCTCAACGTGTTGAACCTTCATCGTCTTTGCATTCAATGGACGTTTGCTTGCGCGTTTTTTAGGGACCTTGCCAGAAGTATGAGTAATAGGGACAGAATTAACAATGTTATTAGCAGGCGTTGGAGGGGATAGCTTCTTATTAGTAAGACGACCACGTGCTTTTTTGATTTGACGAACGGAAGAAGCTTGAGAAAGTTGTGTGGATGAACCTATTAAAATAAATAAATAAATATATATATATATATAAAACATTCAACCAAAAGAAAGAATAAAAAATTTTTCAAAGATATTTCAAATTTAACTTACCATCTGAGTCTGATGTAGCATCTGAAGAGAGATCAACAGATTTTTCAGAATCAGAGCTATCGGAATTTTCGTATTGGCTAATGCGATCTAACAATAATCTTTCGAGCAAAGGAAAAAAAGGTGAAGAGACGAAAGGTTAGATATGTAAAGTTGAAGATAACACTAATTCAAATAATCATGTGTAAAACACGCACTCTTTTTCTCTCTTCAAGGATTTGATTCTTTTACGAGATCTCTCAAGTTCTTTAGTTAATTTGTCATACTCCTAATCGTATTAATTAAAATAAAATGATGAACATGAATATTAGTAAACTAATGAAACAATTTTATGTTATACAAGGTAAGACATGATATCTAGCATAAATATTTTTTTCGGAACAATAAAAGAGGAAATGTAATACTATCAAAGTCGATAAGTTAATTGATAACTGTCATAAAAAAAAATAATAATAAACTCTCGAAGTCGTGGCGGTAACACCAAAAGTACAACGCTCGAAAGATAATAATAATATAAGTTTCAAAGAGGAATAAATATTTTTTAAGTATAACGTAGAGTAACTTCATTGAATATCTTATATTTCTCATGAAAAATACTCGTTCTTCGCGATCTAATACTTCTTATATGAATATAAAAGCTACTTACATTTCGCATATCACGAACTTTGCGTTTAAGTTTTTGATAGTGTTCCTGAGTGACAGCACCATTTTCATGTGAAGAAGAAGTATGTCTTCCTCGACCAGAGTGTGGGTGGGAGTATGAATGTGAATGTGATTGAGCCATGTTAACGGCAAAAGGTTATTGAGAAAGGTAATCGACTGTCAACAAGGAAGAGTTTTTTTGGGGGGTTGTAAGATGTAGTAGTAAGCAGACCTTATTTTATAACAAAACAAGGTTGATTGGGGTTTTAAGTGGTTTATAATAGTATCAATAGTATTTTTATAGTTGTATGTATTTATGGTTGGTGCAGTGTGTATATAGCAGATAGTGCGCCCAACAATCTTCGGGTGTGTAAGGGAACAACGGGACTTAAGAGAGGTGAGTAAAGTTTTTTATCTGTGGGAAGAAAATTTTTTTTTTATGGGGGGGTTAAGTCCCAAATGAATTCGATAGATTATTTTTTGCAACGCAGACGTAATTCATTTGTATGGTAGTATTTATTATGTATGTTGTGAGGGGTTTTGGTTTGGAACATACTGGACGGACGTTTCGGAAGGCTTGTGTGTGTGCTCTTTTTCCAAGGACAAAAGCCTGCCTCTTTCAAAAGAGAAAATGATTCCAAACCTTTACTGTTTGCAATTTGATTGGTTGAAAAAGTGATGTGCAACGTCACAACATGCAGTTACTTTCCGTATTAAGTCAGAACTCGGTCGGGGTTACCAGTTGCTTAAATTTTGAAAATTATTGATGTAACAATATATAAAAGAATTAAATATTATAAAATTGAGTACAAACTGTCATACTATATCATCATTAACAAATAAAATCTAGATTTTTTTTTTTTTTTTTTTTCTTTCTTTAACCGAGCAGGATCAAAAAAAAATTTGTTGAGCTTTTTGAGGTCAAGTAATGTACGACAAATTTCAGATATGACAATTAAAGCAGATTACTTTAAATTCTAAAAAAAAAAATTAAAATAAAATAAATTTGTAAAAATAAAAGGGGGTTTATTTGAAATCATTTCACTTTGGGGTAATAAAGAAAGTTGTTAGAGGAATCTTATTATTTAAAATTTATTTAAGGAGAAACCGAAAAAAAAAAAAAATTCAAGAAAAGAAAATTTACAATTGGCTTCTGCGGGAAGTCAGGAAGATGATATCCCTTTCTATAAAGTTGATAAATCCAAAAAAAGTACAACTATGCCACATATTTCTAAAAACACCGGAAGTTGTACACAGCCATCTCTCACGTTCTTTCTTTACACTTTTATTTTTTTTGTACATCAATTATCATACAACATTCACTTTGATGATCTCTCCCTAAATCAGGAAGGAAATCCGGAATTTTAGACTTATTTTAAACAATCTGCCACATTTATTTATATTATGCTATAATATTCTCCTAATCTTTAATCTCTGCCACGCATTCCGGTTTATCCCACTTTCATTTAGCAAATATATTCCTTTCTCAACGAAACCTGTTCACTTTAGAATAAAAAACATCCTTACTGTTATCTTTGAATCAATCTTTATTCGAGTAGGCGGCCTCCTTTTGATTCTCCCAGGAATTCTCCATCTTTTTAACGAAGATTATGTTTTTCCACAAAAAAAGGACCAACTTTATCACTTGCAAATGTCACTGTGACTACATAAGTGTAGATTGTATAAAAAAAACAATGAACCCTTGCGATGTTAAGGATTGCTTTTATGATTACATATCCCAAATCCCGGGTTTTTAGCACTTTTATTAGGTAATTTATAATGGCAACATAAATAAAAAAAAAAAAGGTTGTAAATCTAATCATGTGACATAATCTACCAGACATTAATCACATGATTCCGTATCATAATTCCTTGCCTTATAATACCCTATATGGCTCATCGATTTCCATATTATCATTTTTCATATCTTGCAGCCCTCCCGCGACGGTTCCAATCTCCACAATCTTCTCAAGTTCTTTTCTTAAAATTTTTGCCGCGTTCATCCAAGTCTCATATTCTTTGGCTTCGCCATAGGTAACTGTCCTGATTGGAATGTCTCCAGAAGTTATTCCCATGTTTCGCATTTGACGAAATTTGCAACGTAATTCAACTTGTATTTTCTTAAACGTAAGAAAGTGCCAAAATAACATGATTAACTTCACCTAACCAATAAAAAAAAATAAATACTTTGGACAACAGATAATGAATTCCT